AACCTGACCTGAGCATGCCAAAAACTAACTTGAACCAATCAACTGAAACCTAAACAGCCTAAAACCACAATCCAAAGGTAAAACACTAGCACTAGGCAACAACAAGATTCTGATATTACCATGCCAAGTCTAAATGGATTCATCAACATAAAGAGTTACCTTTCTATGTACTCAACAGGAGTTAACAGATCAATCTCTCACACCAACTCTAAAGACAACCATATGCATAAACTAAAAACAGTCATATGCCCACCACAAAGTTCTTGGCAAGTCCAAGTATTCACTAATTTGAGTTCACCACAGAAAGTAACACGGTTAATATCAGAGCACTAAAACTGGGCCTGAAGTCAACTTCAAGAAAATAACCTAATCACTAGGTAAAACTAAATCAGGCTTATGGCACCTCAAACAGAATTCAAAGGTAAGATAACATGGATACTCAGATTCACACACACACACACACACACACACACCTAGCAGCAACCTTAAACAAGACTTTAAAGGCAGCATCAATTAAACCTTAATGACAATCACTAAACAAGGAGAACATGTTCTTGGCAGTAATGAACATTATCTCATTACAACCATATCAAGTCTAGCCTCATCATACATTTTGGCAGTATAACTAACAAACTATTTCAACATGGTAATATACAAGCTAATCTCACAAACAATCAACACATGATGATGTATATTAGTGAATGAGTCTAAAATAACATACCTCTTGTAGTCTAGCTACAAAAATCAAGAATTCCTTCCCTTTGAACAAGCTTGTGAAGTTGTTTCCTCTTGAAGAAATAATGCACCTTTGTGGACAGTTTGAGTAAGTGTACTTCCAGCTGTGATTTGAGACTTTAGACAGCTAACATATCATGGATGTGAGGTGCTCCAAGTGTCATGGTGATAGAAAATGGTTTGTGTAGTGATTTGGCTTGAAACTTGCATAAAAGTCAAACTATGGTGTGTGGACAGTTGACTTTTAGATTTATGGTGTTTTTGATGAAACTAATTATTGAAATAGCTTCAAATGATGATTTTAAGTTTGTGCATATGGTTTTTGAAGTGGTTTCATGGCTGGAAATGGTGCTGGTATGAAAAGTGCAAAGAGGCAATTTTTGGTGTTTTTGTGAATTTCTTCACTTTCAAGCAAAGAGGGAAAGAGGGAGAGCTTTGTGTTCCTTGTGTTTTGGATGGCTCTGGTGTGTTCTATACAATGAGACGAAGCCTCTATTTATAGTCCATGAGAAGGGTTTGGGCAGATTTGAAGTCTTGGCCTTGTAGGGAGATCTTTGGAAGAAAATCTATCCAAGATCTATGGCAGTTGTACACTCAAGTCCTTGGCTCAATTGTGACGCATAAATCAAGTGATATGAAGGGAATGGAGGTGACTGAAGTGAGGCTAGAGTGTAGGGAGGTTGCAGCTGTACCTTCCATCCAAAAAGTTTCTCTTTCTTCTTGTTTTTTTTATTAAAATATTGTCACATGTCTTGCCAATCTTGTCAATCCTTTCAAGCCTTCTTTCTTCTGCATTTTAAACCATCCAAATCTATAATTATCAGATCAATAAATGATCCAATTGTTGAGAATGACTCAAGTGGCTGAAAAGTGGATTTGTGAAAAAGTTGAAATGGTGCATTCAAGTGTTGAAACCCCAACTTGATGGATTCATAACTCTCAGCTCACAAAGGATATGAAGGAGTTCTAGTACTTTTTGGAAAGCCCTCATGGAGCTCTAAAAATTTCATGATCTTCAGATTCCAAGCGGAATTGGGTCAAAAAACTCCTCAAAGTTGGCTGAAAACATGATTTGAAAGGCCAGAAACTTATAAATTTTCGAAGTGTTTTCCCCTTTTGTGATGATTTTGGCTATAACTCCAAATCTATGCATTTTTTACACATGGACCCCTGTGAGACGTTTGTAGGAATTGTCAAGACATTTCCAATAAGCTTTGAACCATCTCATTTGGATGTGTGGTTAGGGAGTTATGGTTTTGCCCCTTTCAAAACCCTAATTCCCGATTTTTCCGATTACTCTCCAATACTTGATCCAATGATCATGAAACTTCATGGATAGGTGTAATATGACATTAGGAACATTTTTGATTCACACTTTGAGGTCAAATTCGTTATAGTTGGAGAGTTGACTTTTCAGTCAACCGAAACGATCGATCGATGACTACCGATTCGACTATTGACCTTCTGGGTTTTCTGAGGCTTTGAAACTTCTTGAGTGGATTTCCATAAGAAATATGAGCTTCATGAACCATAACTCCATCATTGAAACACATTTTAAATCAAAAGTCAAACTACAGTTGACTTTTCCTGATCAGAAACCCTAATCGGGGATCCTGAACTGCACTGTTCTTTAATCTTTGCGTGACAACCTCAAATTGGATTCATACTTGACCCAATGGATTTTTATTGATGGTGTAGAGACTTTCTTCATGGATAATCAATCCAAGGCATTGACTTATTAAACCGTCGAAACTTCGATTTCCGATTGTACGGAACCCTAATTCACCTGTAACTTAACAAAGACAAACTTGAAGTAGGTTAAGGTTAAATAATCAAATGAAAATGATCCTAGAATGATGATGAAGATTTAAGGGGTCAAAATTTGGGGTGCAACAACCATCACCAAGGTTGAAAGAAATCAGGTCAGCAAACGACTCCTCTCCAAGATTAGTTCCAAGAATCAAGACATCTCTCCACCATAATGATATGTTTCTTGATGAAGTTGCAGGAAGCTTGCAAACGATATTCTTTAAGAAGTCTCCATAGCGCCCTGATAAAATTCCAACCCAAAGAGTATGCTTCTCAACTAAGAGCCTCGTTAGCCATTTGGTCATCAAGACAATATTAAAGAGAGAGATATCTCTAATGACTAAACCGCCTTCATTTTTAGATTCGCAGATAATAGCCCAACTGACACAAGAAACCCCTCTACAATGCTTAGCGCCGAACCACAAGAAATTTCATTGAATTGAAATCAACTCCCACAAAACTTTGCGAGGATCCATGTAAAAAAAACAGATAAAGAATAAGAGGGTTCATCAATACATAATTAATCATAGTCACACGACCAACAATAGATAGAAGCCTTCCTTTCCACGGGGACAATCTCACCTTCAAAACTTCAATGACTGGTTTCCAAAATGCCACACGCCTATGATTGCCACCAACATTCAGCCCAAGAAACTTGAATGGTATAGAATCAAGATTACAGACCAAGAATTGCTCTTCACTTTTAAGGAATGAACCTTAAATTCCCACACCATATAATTTACTTTTCCTTGTGTTGATTTTCAAACCAGAAAAAAGTTCGAAACCCTTAAGTATAGATTTCAAGGCCCATAAATTTCCCTAAGCACTGTCGTATATCAACACCGTGTCATCCGCGTACTACAACAAATTATAAGATACACTTTCAATAACATCAAAACCTTTTAGAATGTCCGCCTCCGCAACTCTTCTAACCAATATTGCCAAGCCTTCCACAACCATAGTAAATAGAAAGGGAGACAAGGGATCACCTTGTCTTAATCTCTTAGTCACCTTAAAATCTCAAGTTGGACTTCCATTAAAAATAACAGACACATAACTACTCAACACACTACCCTGAATCCACTTCAACCATCTATTTCCAAAACCCATGGCTGCCAACATATACCTTAGATAACCCTAGTCCATGCAATCATAAGCCATAGTAAAGTCTACCTTAAGAAGGACAAAACTTTTATTCTTCCTCTTTGCAAGATCAATGATTTCATTCAGCACTACTACACCGTCTACTAACTGCATGCCCTTGATGAAAGCAGTTTGAGAACTAGCAATAATGTTATCTATAACACCTCTAATCCTAGAGGCCAATAACTTGGAAAAAACCTTATACACACACACATACACACACACACACACACACACCCAATAAGACAAATGGGCATATAATTGTCCAAGTGTTGAGGGTAATCAAGCTAAGGGATTAAGGTAATGAACAATGAAGTCAAAGACTTATACCACAAAGTCTCATGGTAAAATTTTTGAATACACCGTACCACATCAGCACCCAAGACATACCATGTTTTCTGCAAGAACTCAATGTTAAATCCATCCGGGCCAGGACTTATATTACCTTCACAATCAAATACCACCTCCCTGATTTCGTCTTCACTAAAAAATCCCTCAATGGTGTTTGATTTTGAAGGTAATAGAAGTCTTGGCCCGGATGGATTTAACATTGAATTCTTGCAGAAAACATGGAATGTCTTGGGTGCTGATGTGGTACGGTGTATTCAAGAATTTTACCACGAGGCTTCGTGGCATAAGTCTTTGACTTCATCGTTCATGACCTTAATCCCTAAGCTTGATAACCTCAAACACTTGGACGATTATAGGCTCATTTGTCTTATTGGGTGTGTGTATAAGGTTTTTTTTCTAAGTTATTGGCCTCTAGGATTAAAGGTGTTATGGACAACATTATTGCTAGTTCTCAAATTTCTTTCATCAAGGGCAGGTAGTTAGTAGACGATGTAGCAGTGCTGAATGAAATCATTGATCTTGCAAAGAGGAAGAATAAAAGGTGTGTCATTCTTAAGTTTGAATTTAAATAGTTAATGAATTTCAATTGAAAATATATTTATTCTTGTCGAATTTTACTTATTTCTCAGTCAAACTTCAAATTATTTTGTCTTTCGTTTTTTTGTTAATATAAGAGTTAAAACAAAATAATATTACAAACAAAAGAAAATATTAAAGTCATCTTTTAAAGATATAATCAAAATGGGTAAATAAAATATTTTTAAAAAGCAAATAGATTTAGGATTATATAATTAAATCAATAATATATTTATAGCTAATATGTACTCCCTCCTCCAACTCAAGAAAAAAACAAAACACACTTATTGAAAAAATCATTTTATAGTCTAATAATTTATTGACATTTAATAATAATATTTTTAAAAGAAATTTCGTTGACTGTTCTCTGCTAGGGTTCGTTGACCATGGCAAAAAGGGGCGTTAGCCAGTCGAAAAAAGAGGTGGCGGTGCGCCAGAGGACAATTGAAAGAACGATCATCACACATGCGGTCGTGGAACTGGAAGAAGAAATCGAGGATGGAATTGCACAACGACAAATATCAGAGCCAACAACCCAGGGAGAATCCCTAATCGAGGATCAAGGACCTGAAAAGGAAACGAAAAAATCACCAGAAACAGAGGAAAAAGTCAACGCAAAACCCTGGGTAGAAGTTATCTCTGGAAATTGAAGCCAAACCAGAGGTATGGCAGTAGATTTCGTAGCACCAAACATTGTCAATGGAGAAATTGAAATCCTTATTGAGGATACTGATGTAGTGGAAAAACTGGAATTTTGGGACAATGCTTCAATCCTGTTTGCTCTTGGACAAAATCTTTCCATGAATGCAGTAAGAATATTCATGGAAAAGACTTGGAACTTTGTTGCTATGCCTGAACTCTATTACAATGATGAAGGGTATTTTGTGTTGCGGTTCAAGAACAACGAGGATAAGGAGAAGATCATGGAACAGGGTCCGTACTTTATCTATGGTAAACCTATCTTCTTGCGTTATTGGACGACTGATTTTGAGATTAAGGAGGATTTGCTTCATGTGCTTCCTTTATGGATAACATTGCCGAATTTACCGTTACACCTAGGTGGGGAGAAAAGCATTTCGAAGATTACTAGTGCAGTTGGAAAGCCGATCACAACGGATAAGTGCACTGCTAAGAAGCTGCGAATATCCTATGCTAGGGTATTGGTTGAAGTTGATATAACACAAAAGATGAGAGACAAAGTCTGCATAAAGGACCATAATGGAAGAATCCTTGAACAAAAAATCGAATATGAATGGAAACCTGTTTATTGCCAATCGTGTTTGAGAATTAGCCATGATTGTACTTTAAAGAAGAATGCCCAGCAGAAGCCTCCTCCAACAAAGTTATGGAAGCCAATCAACAGCAATAAACCCATGGAGGAAACCCAAGTAATAGACAACATACAGCCAGAAGATATTCAAAATAATGCATGAACTATTAATAACAATGAAGATTAGACTGAAGTATCATCAAGCAAATGGGACAAAGGGAAGCAACAAAAGAACGTTACACCCAAAAATAGCAGTTTCAAGAGATACCAGAACAGTTTCACACCCTTATGGATTGGAGAATTTCCACAAGGGGGACCAATCATGATCCATGATATGGAATGTTAGGAGCATAAATAAGGCGGCTAGGCATAGAGAGATCAACTCATATCTCTCATCTTTCAATGTGCCTATTGTGGTCTTATTAGATACACGAGTAAAGATACACAATGCTGAAAGGGTTAGGAAAAAATTCAATGGAAATTGGAAATTTGTTAATAATTACAAGGATCATGAAAATGGGAGGATTTGGATCTTATGGAAGCACAATAAGATTAGAATGAAAGTATTGAAGACAGCTGACCAATTTATCCATTTGGAGGTTCTTGGAATGGATCGAACATTGCTATACAATGTAACAGTTCTGTATGCTTACAATCAGTTTGAAAAACAAAAAAATATTGTGGAGATAAAAACCTTGGGCAGTACCATTAAGACACCATGGATAGTTATGGGAGACTATAACAATGTCTTTACAAGTAAGGACAGAGTTGGAGGGAATGATGTGACTGAGAGTGAATACATAGATCTTTCTAACATGATGCAACCATAGGTTTATATGAAGCTAGCACGACAGCAAATCATTACACTTGTAGGGCAGCCTCATCTTCAACCAAAAAATAGGAATATGTTCAAATTCATAAACTGCATTACGCATGACCCCACTTTTTTGCAGATAGTTTCAGATAATTGGGAGGAAAATTTGCACGGGACTGCAATGTTTAGCCTATGGACTAAGCTAAAAAGAATTAAATTTGTCTTGATTCCACTCATCAGAAAAGTCAGTGATGTCCAAGACCAACTTCACAAGGCCAAAAGCAATCTGCAGGAGGCTAAAGATCATTTCAGTTGTAACTTATTCGATGACCAAGCTATAGCTAATGTCAGAAATTGTACAGATCACATTGTCTATCTTAATCAAATTGAGGAGAACATTTTGATGCAAAAATCGAAAGCCATGTGGCTCAAACTCGGTGATGGGAATAATTCTTATTTCCACGCTTCGGTTAAAGAAAAAAACAAGCAGCAAGGTATTCACACTCTCACAACACTTCAAGGAGAAAAGATCTACAAATATGAAGACATTGAAAAAGAAATTTTGACTTTCTATACTAACCTCACGAGCAGTAATGCAAATGTGCCGAAGGGAATTGACATAACTGCTGCGAGAAGAGGTAAGACTCTTTCTACAAAGCTAGACCTTCGCCTTATAAGACTTGTTGAGGAAAAAGAGATTTGGATCGCTTTGACTACTATTGGTAATTCCAAAGCACCCGGTATGGACGGTTTCAACGCACTCTTCTATAAATAAACATGGCCTATAATCAAGAAAGATGTTGTTGCAGCCATCTCAGAATTCTTCATGATTGGTAATATGCTGAGAGCATTTAATTGCTCCTTGGTCACTTAATTCCAAAATCAAATGTAGCAACCACCATTAAGGATTTGAGGCCTATCTTGTGTTGCAGTGTAGTTTATAAAATGATATCAAAAGTTCTCACAACAAGACTAGGAGAGATGATTAGCTCAATAGTGGATGAAAACTAATTTGCCTTTGTTCCGGGCAGAGTTATTCACGGCAATATCATGATGGCGCAAGAACTAGGATGGCAACGGGGCGGGTTTAACTATACCCGCACCCGTCCCGCCCCCATTCGTAAATTTTTTTTTTTAATTGCAATAAAAATTAATAATTTAATTAAAAAATTTATTATTTTAATAAATTAATTAATTATTTAATTAAAATTTAATTAGTAAATTAATATTAACTTGATTATTTTAATTGCAATAAGTACATTAATAATTTAATTAAAAATATAATTGATAAATGAATATTAAAATAAGTAAAATAAGGGAATTAAAGTAAAATATATTATCAGGGGCGCGGGTGTGGGCGGGTCCTGGTGCCTACCCGCACCCGCAGTTAAGAACCGAGTTTCTCCCGCACCCGCATCCAATTAAATCGGGTTTTTCCGTTAATTTCGGGGTGGATGCGAGCGGGTTTGAATTTGTTTAGTAAGTGTGAGTAGTGTGGATAATAGTCTCACGTTAGTTGTAAATGTGAAGATTTGAGCATTTATAAGTGAGAAAACTCACTCACATATCATCTTAAAGTTTTGGGTGAATATGTGGTATATCTCTCACAAATGTATCGCTAAAAAAAGAAGTCACGTGATGTTCAATGTTCCCTAATGAAAAAACTCTTTCAACACATTGTATCTTGAGTCTTTGGTTTGAGAGAAAGGATCGGCTTACTTGTACCAAAATTCAACGGAAACTTTTCTTTGAAGAGAGTCAACGGCGCCTCAAAGGTGATGAGTAAGAAACGTTCTATGCAATACAAGAGTTTTGTGGAAGTAAGAAAAATTTTCACTTAAGAGGGAACATTGTAGACTCACACTTGATGGTGAGTATTGAAAATGTAGCAAATGTGAGTAGTGTGGATAATAGTTCTACATTGGTTGGAAATATGAAGACTTGAGTATTTATAATTGAGAGAATCTACCCACCTATTACCTTAAGGTTTTGGAAGAATATGTGATGTGTCTTTTACAAATGTGTTGCTAAAAAAAAAGTCCCACAATATTCAATGTTTCCTAATGAAAAAAACTTCCCCAATAATTATTGGAGGACATGTATTTACTGTATGCTTTTTACATGAACTTGCTAATAAAATTGATTTATATGTTTTTGATAAAAATTAATATTGTTATGTGTATGTTTATGTACTAGAGTTAAAACAAAAAAACTATATTTATCTTTTGAGTTAAAAATCTCTTTTTATAAATTATGCTAAACATGCATATTTATGCACGTATTACAAACCATGGAGTATTGTTTTTTTAATATATATACTTTTTTTTTTTAAAATTTAGTGAAAAATATTGAACCACATGAGATAGTTAATTCAAAGAAAGCGTTCATTATTAAGAAATATCCAACGAGGCGCAATTTGTCAAATATTGATAAAAGAAAGTCATGATTGTAAGCGAAAACGCAGGATTCTTGCAAGTTTGATTTTATTTTATGGGTAATGCTAACTTATGCCCCAAGGACACAAGTTAAGAAAACCACTTATAGTAAATTTGTATTGAAAAAAACGATTTAAAAATTAATTTTATACTTTAATTAAAGTTTGTACACAATTTCCAAGACAATGTTTTTTAATTTAGTTCTTAACTTGTGCCCTTGGGGCACAAGTTAACATTACCCTTATTTTATTTCGTCTCTATACATGTCATTCATCGGATTTGGAAGCAAATACACGAAGTCGACAATGCTTTCAATAAAAAAAATGGTCGGAAAAGAATTAAGATAGATATTTAAAAAACTATGTCATGCTGCGTTGAATAAGTGAAGTACTTATAAAGCTCTAGGGTTGCCTTAGGTGTTAATAAGAAAAGATTGTTGATTTACTAAAAAGAAGGGATTTTGCTTCGATACTCTAGCAGATTAAGACTGCATTTGAAGAAAAATAATATGAAAGGACGTCTTAGATTTTGTTTATCCACGCTTGAGGAAAGTAGCATTCCCATGATCTAAAGTTTAAGCTCATGTATAATATTGTATGTACCGTCCAAAAAGTACAGGTGCGTGCGTGTTCCCCCTGCAAGAGCAGTGAGAATTAGAGGCCCTAATAGGTATATTACAAGTTGGAATGGTGAGGGCTAACTCGCAACGACGGGTAACCCTTTTACGCTGATTTTTGAGGTTATTTGATGGACCAACTCATGTAAGGTGAGAGACCCTGATGGTGATCAGCGCTGCTATTATAGGGATATTCTACACCCTTAAAGACCCATAGGTCTTAAGAACTTCAAACACCCCACTACCCTTAATTGACTTGTCACCAACCATATAAAGAAGAAGAAAGTCCCCTTTAAATCCATCCACTTGAAGTAAAAGGTTAGGATCCCTCACTACCTTCTCACTGGGATCATATTTTTAAGGATCATGACACAAACAAACCTTTCTTCTGCTTCTTGAGGTACGTAGGACACTCAGCTTTTATGTGTCCAAAGCCTTCACATCCATTACATTGGATTCCTTTGCCTTGGTTAGTCTTCCCTTTAGTTTTGGCCCTTCTTCCAGAATCCTGATTTTTGTTGATGTCGAATGACTTGTTCCTGACATTTGATTTTGACTTCTAGTCCATCTTCTTCATCACTTTGTTGAATTGTCTTCCAAGCAACACAATAGCATTAGATATACCTTCATCTGTGTCTAGGTCACATTCATCTTCTGAGTCTTCAACATTAGACACAAAGGCTATACTTTTCTTCTTCTCAGACTTTTCATTGATGTCTAATTCAAAGGTTTGTAGAGATCCCATAAATTCATCAACTTTCATGTTGTTTATGTCTTGGGCTAATTCAATGGCAGTAACCTTCATGTCAATTCTCTTTGGAAGAGATCTAAGAATTTTTCTGACCAACTTAGCCTCTGGTATCTTCTCCCCCAAGGCATTTGAGGCATTGGCTATCTCAATAATATTCATGTGAAAGTCATGAATGCTTTCATATTCCTTCATTTTCAAGTCCTCGAACTTGGTGATAAGAAGTCGAAGCCTTGACATCCTCACCTTAGAGGTTCTTTCATGTGCAGTCTTCAAAATTTCCCAAGCATCTTTAGCAATAGTACAATTATTTATTAGTCTGAAGATTTTCTTGTCCACTCTATTGAATAAGGCATTCAATGCTTTGGAGTTTCCCAGAGCTAGCTTGTCAACTTCATCACGATCCAGTGGATTTTGACTTAATAAATTTCAACTAATTATGTAGAAGGAATGTTCAACCACATGATCCAGTGCAGAGATATGCCATCAGTATGGCTCCCCTATGGACCAATTATCACAAGGCTCCTAAGTACTTTCGACATTGACACCA